ATTATCAAAAATATCATGGAAGATGTACAGGTGGACTTCTATTTAACCCTAAAATAGAAAACTGTGACTTTCCCGAGAACGTTGACTGTGATGATAAACCAGTTCCTGGTTGTAAATGTGAATCTGAATCTGGTCTCTTCCCTCACCCTCACGACTGTACCAAGTTCATTCACTGTGCCCACTGGCAACCACACATCAAGGACTGTCCGTCAGGGCTACATTTCAACAAAGTTCTAAAAGTTTGTGATTGGCCAGAGAACGCTTGTTGCAACGGTAAGGAAATAACGAAGTTCAGTACAAGATCTTGAGCTGTTATTATAAATAGCTTATTAAAATTATATTACATAATATACTTTCCATAAATAGCATTATATGTCTGAATTACTTTCGTACGTGAATGTAGCGTAAAAATAAATTGCGTATTATAAGAACTTATTTGAGAATTAATATATATATATATACTAATATTAAAGTCTTCATAGAATTCAAAACCAACATATAGACTATTTGAGAAGGATTAATAATATTGCCTTTTTTGGTTTTAGGACCATGTCCAACACCAATTCCGCCAATTGGAATATGTGACCTGTGTGAATGTTGTTTAATCCCTGACAAACTTGACTGTGCAGCCTTCACCAGATGTGAAAATGGAAATTCTTACAGCGAACGCTGCTCTCCTGGCCTTTTGTTCAACCCGAAGATTGAGAACTGTGATTTCGAGAAGAATGTCGTATGTAATAAACCAGGAGTGTGTCCTGAACCAGTTGGTCTTTTCCCACATAAAGACTGCACTAAGTTCATCCACTGTGATCATGGAGTTCCTCATATTAAGGACTGTCCAGCAGATCTGCACTTTAATCCAAAATTGAAGGTCTGCGACTGGCCCAATAGAGCTGGCTGTGGTAAGCTTGATTTTAGTGCTTTATATATAAGGGAAAAAAACGAAATAACTTTTTTCCACTTTTACCATCATATGACTTGTCTAACACAACACCTTGGATTTAACAGAAACTTCTTTTATATATTTTACTTTAGGAAATCCCATAACACCAATTCCACCCGACCCGAAGCCTTGTCCAGACTGTAGCATTTGTGACTGCTGCTTCATACCTGACAAAAATGACTGTACCAAGTTTTATCGCTGTGAATTTGGAAAATCCTATCATGGCCAATGCTCTTCTGGCCTTGTTTTTGATGAAGCTCAACAGACTTGTATTCATGCTAAAGATGGAAACTGCGGGAATAATGATAGATTCATTTGTCCATTGCCCAATGGCAAGTTTAAAAACAATGACGACTGTGGTTCTTACTGGGAGTGCAGTAATGGCTTCGCTTACTTGAAGGAATGTCCAGCCAATCTGCACTGGAGTGAAGCCCTGCAACGTTGTGAATGGCCCTGCATTGCTCGATGTACCAAAGTTTCAATAGGTATGACATCGCTCAGTTAATAATTTACACATTTAAGGTCCAAAGTTCTTATTCGCATGCTTTTACACTTATGTGTTGTAAAATCTGAAACGTACAACCAGGCAACAATAATTCGATATTATGTAAGACAACTAAGAAACTCACTAAAGGTCAAAGTCAGTGCATATTCTTCACAGAATGTTAATCCAATTTGTACTAAGAGAAGGAAAATGTACAAGAAATACACTGTGAAGACACAGCAAGATGTAATTAATGTTAGTACGCGGTTATTTTTCGATTTCTTTTTAAGTATAAAGAATAATAATATTTTTTATTGCGAATATTGTAGGAGGTCCTAAAATAAATTATTAGTAATTAAATAAAATTTCGGAACAGGGTTTTAAACAAGATCAAGACAGAAATGGTATCTTTTTCTGTACCTAACTGTTTTCATTCTCAAATAGTATGTCCTCCACCGACTTCAATACCACCAACGAAGCTCCCAGAATGTGACTGTGATGGTTGCTTCACTCCTCACCCCACAGACTGTGATTCTTACTATCGCTGCAAAGATGGAATTCGTGTTAAATACACGTGTTCTCCTGGGTTGTACTTCAACAGGCACACCAAAAAATGTGACTACAAAAATAGTGTCAGTTGTTACAACTTCAAGTGTCCGAGCAAAAACGGGATGTTTAAGAACGAAAACGACTGTGGATCGTTTTGGCATTGTTCCAATTATATTCCATACCTTAAGGATTGTCCGGCCAACCTACACTGGAGTGTGGAGAGACAAAGATGTGAATGGCCTTGTATCGCCAAATGTGATCCTTCTGTTCCAAGTAGGTCTTTTGTGGCTGACTTCATTTACATGTGCGCTGAATGTACCTTAATGCCATCATATGTTTTTATATGCAAGTGTGCTTTATTAAACGTTTTTAAAAATGAAAATTATTTAGAACAAACCAAAAGCTGATAGCTGTTTGTAAGTAATGTATTTATTACGACTTTTTCTGTACTATAGTTTGCCCAACTGAACAGACAACAACGGTAACTAAGCCTGTTTGTGGGTGTGATGGGTGTATGACACCTCACCCGAGCATCTGTTCAGCATACTATAGATGTAAAAATGGTCAACGAGAACTACTCTACTGCCCTTCTGGTCTTCACTTTAACAAGAACACCAAAGTCTGCGATCACCCAGAGAACGTTCGCTGCTGGAAGTTCATCTGTCCCCTTCCTGACGGGATGTACAAGAATGATGACGATTGTGGTAGCTTCTGGCACTGTTCTAATGGAATTCCGTACATCAAAGATTGTCCTGCAGGCTTACATTGGAGTGTTGCCTTAAACAGGTGTGAATGGCCGTGTCTTGCCAAGTGTGACCCCACTGTTCCACGTGAGTATATGAATATCCTGTAGAACTGAAATATGGTTATTGTAAGTCAATTACTGGGGTTGTTCAAGAAAGTATAAATTTATTTAAACTTATTTTCATAGACTGTTTTCAGGTTTTACTGTTAATCATAAAGATCTACAGAGATTGTGCGCAATGTACCCTTCACAGGAATCGAAGCCCACATTTTAGCATTACATATTTTCACTGTTAACGCTGAGCCACCTAGAAAGCACTGTTTAATGAAATAAACTATAATTTAAAAAAGTTTTACTTTAAATATCCTATTATTAGTCCCCAGTGGCATACAGCGGTATGTCTGCGGACTTACAACGCTAGAATCCGGGTTTCGATACCCGGGCAGAGCACAGATAGCCCATTGCGTAGCTTTGTGCTTAATTACAAACAAACACTCCTATTATTAATGATAATTACAAAAACAACACCAATGTCACTCCAAAACAGTTCAAGACTAAAAAAAAAGTGGATTTCTCTTTTTTTATTAACAATTGTTCTTTTCGAGTTTGAAGACTGTCCTTAAAAAACTAATAAAATACACATATGCATATTTTAATTGCCCCTAGAAGAAAATGAATATAAATGAATAATCCTCATTCAATGACTGATTTTCTTACTTTACGTATATTATAAAATAGCAACAAAATAAAATAAAATTACTTTAATCATATTACTCTGAAATTGCTTTATGATCATCACCTATTGAATAATGGTTCCCTTCAGCTTGTCCTACGGAATCTACTAGTATCCAGACCACCCAAAATCCATGTGGATGCAGTGGTTGTGTAACACCTCATCCCACTGACTGTTCGGCCTATTACCGATGTCAAAATGGACGCCGAGAACTACTCTATTGCCCACCTGGTCTGTACTTTAACAAAAACACCAAAGTTTGTGATTATCCAGGGAACGTCCGTTGTTGGAAAATCGACTGTCCAAGAAACGATGGTATGTTTAAGAACGAATTTGACTGTGGAAGTTTCTGGCACTGTTCGAATGGAATTGCCTACCTGAAAGATTGCCCTGCTGACCTCCATTGGAGTGTGGAGAAAGAAAGGTGTGAATGGCCTTGTATCGCCAAATGTGATCCTTCTGTTCCAAGTAAGTTTTCACTAATATGTTCACAGTTAGTAAAAACATCGTTTTCATTACCTACTACTTTGTTTATCATGCTAGACAAATATTGAGGACGATGTTAAAGTGTTCTTAAGTATTCCATGTATTTAATCATATAAATTGTGTCTACACCGAATTTTTCCTCCTCAGCCTGCAAACCAACCACTACACTAAAACCTGTAGATCCCTGGTGTCCATGTTCAATGTGTGTCTCCGAAGATCCATTCGATTGTCGAGCTTATTTCAAGTGTAACAATGGAGTCCGAGAAACGAAGTACTGTCCTAATGGTCTGTATTTCAATAAGAACACCAAGGTATGTGATCATCCAGAGAATGTTGATTGTCCAGATGTTGGAGATCCCAGTCTCTGTAAAATGCCCGTAGGGAAATACATTTTCCCTGGAGATTGTAACAAGTATGTGGAGTGTATCAACGGCATTGCCCTCGTCAGGAAATGTCCATGGGGGCAGAAGTTTGATAAAGATAAGCAGCTGTGTGTTTCTACTGACGATGGTTGCGGTAATTACATAAATTCTATTTCGTTAAATGTTAAATAAAGCATTTCCATAATTACAAACATTCTATACAATTTTCAATTGATTTAATGACCAATAATATAAATATTTTTTTAAGATTGTATATAACATTTTTAGTAACTTTATTCTAAAATGAACTCGGACTTACTGAGAGTTTAGATACGTATATATATAATATTTAATTACTCTCTCACTTTCATTGAATTTTCATTTATAGATGGATGGATTAGAGACCCGGTTTGTCAAACCCTAGACGGACTCTTTTCTAAGAAAGACGACTGTACCAAGTTCTACCACTGTTCTAATGGTATCGCCTATCTGAAGGATTGTCCTGCATCTCTCTACTTTAACCCTCTTCTCAAAGTCTGTGATTGGCCAAGAAACGTCCACAATTGTGGAGTTGACCCAGGTAAAGCTCAGTAACATATTTCAAAACCTTTAGATTTCTCTCTGTTTCAGTTTTATCAGTTAAAATATTATCAGTAAGTTAAATCAGTAGTGTAATACAAAAGTAAGGATAACAACCATAATACTTAGATGAATGATTAACTTGAAGTTCCAGATCCTGACCCAACCTGTATCGTTAACCCCGACGTTAAATGTCCTTCCTGTGCATGTCGGGTGGCTGATCCTCATGATTGCGGAGCCTTCTACCAATGTACAACTGAGGGTAAAGCCTGTAAAAAGACTTGTCCAACTGGTCTCAAGTTTAACCCTGTCAAGATCCTTACCTGCTAGAGTACAATCACAGTTGTCAGGTAAGTCGCACACCCTGTGATTGTACTCTAGCAGGTAAGGCTGTGATTGTACTCTAGCAGGTAAGGAAACAAATATTTTCTCCTTCCTGGTTTCTTGAATGTGATAATTGTATTTAGTATCAGAGGAACACTTACAATCAGTCAACCTATATTTCAATAAATTCTAGTCAATACACATTTAACTTTTCTCTTTTCAGGTGAATTAATCTATAAACTTTTCTATTCAGCTTACTGCGAAGAAATTTTAGTTTTGTGGTGATCTGGTTTATGATCTATATTCTCTTAGTTTGATGGGTAGAAATGACTTAATTAATTTTTGCTTTTGATTCATATAGTTTCTTTACAGTCGATCAGAAGAACCATTAATTTTATAGATATCCATATCAATGACCAATAGGAAACCTCAATAACCGCACTGTAGCTTGTATCCTTTTAGTTCTATTTCCATATGCTGTTCCGATTCTTTGTTATCGAGAGCAACTCGTGTTATTGAAATAATAGTTATTATTTTGTGTTAGTTAGCATTTTTCATAAAATCATGTTTGCAGGATATATATATAATAACGATTTACGTTTCAACATTAATAGAAGTATACAATAATTAACTCATTATTATAAATATATATATATTTATACAATATTTTAGAGTATTAGAGTTAGTGTTTCCATAATACCATCGAATTTCCTTAAGTTTACCAAGATGAGTTACCCTTCAAATATTCTATTGTTTTAATTCCAGCTTCCAGTGAAAAACAGCATGAAGAAGATGGCGATATCTGCAGAGGCAAAACCAGTGGACTTCGTCGAATTCCATCTGACTGCTCCAAATTTGTTGAATGTGGTCCAGAAGGAGCAGGAAAAGAACAAGCCTGCCCTCAAGGGCTGTACTTCAATGAAAGTATCCAAAGTTGCGACTACAAAGAAAACGTCAATTGTTAACTATGTTAACAATGAACATGGAAGTTTGATTCACAGCATTTGTAAATTAATAAAATGCGGAGTTATGTAATTATTTCCGAAATGAATATGTAGAAGTCTATCTTATTCTTCTTCTGAAAAATAAAGTATCAGCAAGCATTTAAATATTTCTGGCTGTGTAGTATTTTATTTCCGATTTGTAAAGTCTTATATAATGAAACAGAAGCTCACTTACTCTACCGTTAAAATATAATTATTCTCTCCTGATAAAGGAAGAAATATATTTAGATATTTCTGGCTGTGTAGTATTTTATTTCCGATTTGTAAAGTCTTATATAATGAAACAGAAGCTCACTTACTCTACCGTTAAAATATAATTATTCTCTCCTGATAAAGGAAGAAATATATTTCTAACATACAAACATCAATACTACATTCTTAGCCTGGCATGGCTAGGTGGTTAAGGCACTCGACTCGCAATTTCAGGGTCACGGGTTCAAATCCCCGTTACACCAAACATACTCGCCCTTTCAGCCGTGGGGGCGTTATAATGTGACGGTTGGTAAAAGAGTAGCACAAGAGTTGTCATGGGTGGTGATGACTAACTGCCTTCCCTCTAGTCTTACACTGCTAAATTAGGGACGGCTAGCGCATATAGCTTTGCGCGAAATTAAAAAACAAACAAACAAACTACATTTTTACAAATTCGCTGTTGGTGTGAAAGCTCTACCTTATTTCTAGGATTATTTAGTTTTGAACGATATAAATTATAGTAAAATATTTCTACAATTAAAATATATTTCTTGTAACTAAGAAATAGATAATATAGATATTATTTTTAAAGTTTTTCATTGATAAGTTTACAAATTTTTAATCTTGAGTATTTTAGTATTAATTATATTTACAGAAATTCATACACGAGTCCATTTATATATGAAAACATGAAACTAATTGTAAAACTAACACACTTAGGTTAAAAAATTAGTAACATTTAAACATTTTACTTTTTATAATTCCATGGATATATATATTTGTCATAATACAGCAGAAATGATTTCACTTTTTTTTTCTGAAGTTTACTAATGATAAGAAATACAAAGTGTAAATATTTAAATAAATATATTAAATTAAATTGTCTTTTGACTTAAGAATAGAATCTAGTTTACTATTCTTAAAATGTGGATCTTTAATTTTGTATACTTTGTTTATTTGATGGTTATTCAATAAGGACACATGATGACTCTTTAACTGAAATTCTATATTATGTTTTAATAGGTAAATTACCTATGTAATAACAAAATGTGTTTTTAAGTCAAGAATTAAAACTGGTTTCCCATTTTTCTCTAAAATAGTGGTTAAACCTATTTCCGTTTCCTTTTCTTATAAAATTCATAAAAATTTTAAAGGGGCAAAAAATAAGATTATTGGTCCATCAAGAATGTCCTTTCCAGCTCCCAACTATAACCACCCCTTACTACGTATTTATTCACCCAATCTTTTCTTGAACTCGGTTAAATTTTCTGCCTCCACCACCCATGAAGGAAGCTCATTCCAAAAGCCAACCACCCTGTTTCAAAAGTAATACTGTCTAAACTGCAGACGACTCCTGTGCTGCCAAAACTTCAATTTATAACCCCTTGTCCCAATGTTTTCACTGCTAAACACAAAAACGTTTGATGGATCTGTATTATCAACACCCTTAATAATCTTAAACACCTCAATCAAATCCCCTCTTACCCTTCTCCTCTCCAGAGAAAACAAGTTTAGAGATTTTAGTCTTTTCTCATAGGACAATCCCACTATCTCAGGTATCGTCCTAGTGGTTCTTCTCTGAACCTTCTCCAACAATTCAATGTCCTTCTTGACGAAGAGAGCCCAAAACTTTACACAGTACTCTAAATGAGGCCTTACAAGTGATCTATACAGTGAAACAATAATATCCTTTATCTTGTATTCAATATTTCTATACAGTACACTGTTTAGATGACTTAAGTGATTTTTCTATCACAACACCAAGATATTTTTCTTCAACCACAGTATTTAAAGTATTTCCATTCAAATTGTAACAATAATTTTAATTTTGAAAACCTACATGAACCACCTTACATTTTGGACAGTTAAACATCATCTTCTACGTATTGGCCCACTGCATCAAATGATCTAAATATCCCTGTAAATCTGCAGCATCTTTGACATAGTTAGCCATCCCAAAAATCTTAATGTGTAATTTCAATATTTTGTTAGTTATTCTAGAGTCAATATCATTAATATAAATCACAAATAGTAGAGGACTCAGCACAGAGCTCTGAGGCACATTTCTTGTAACTGTGATCCAGTCAGATTTAACTCCATTTATTACTACTCTCTGCCTTTTACTCTACAGCCAATTTTCTATTCAATATGATAACATTTTCTCCACACCCACAGATTTTATTTTTGTAAGAAGTTTTTTGTGAGGCATCTTATTAAATGGTTTCTGTAAATCAAGATAAACCAAATCCACAGTATTTCCTTCATCAACTCTTGAAGTAACATACTCAGAGAATTTCAGCAGATTTGTTAAACAAGATTTTCCCTTACTGAAACCATGTTGGCTCATTGACACTATACCAAACTGCTTTAAGTGGCTCTGCCATGCAACTTTAATCACACTCTCCAAAACCTTTCCAACTACTAATATTAGACTAACTGGTTTATAATTGTCTGGACAATGTTTATCACCTCCTTTAAATATTAGACTAGCACTAGCCAACTTCCAAACTTTTCTCTTACAATTTCAGAACTTAAAATGATATATTTTACAAAAATATTTTCCCCATACATTAAGTGCTCTGTTTGAGGCATAATACTTGTACCTTCCTTCGCAAAAACTGAAGAGAACATGTAATTTAATAAGTTGAACGTCTCATAATCTTCTGAGATAAGCTCCCCACTATCATTTTTAAGAAGCCCAATTCCTATCCTCATCATATACCTAAACAATTCCTTATTGTTTCATTTAACTTTTTCAGCCAACTCTCTTTCATATACAGTTTTTTGCCCTTTTAACCAGCTCTCTTGATTTTCTATAGTCCTCCAAGTTCTTATTCTTTCCAGTAAGTTTATATTTCTTAAATCTATTATGTTTATCCCTAATATGATCTGTTAAACCTTTACTAAACCATACTGGCTTGTTTCGCTCTGTTGCTCTTTTTTTCCTTGAAGGAATATATTTTTGTACAGAATTAATAAAAAATTAATGTATATATAAATACAGTACGAATCACTAAAATAAAATATACATAAAAAATTAACATTCAAAGCATTAATTGAATGGTTAGCAATAAGTAGACATGAGCATAGTCCAATATAAATATGTCATTAAATAAATAAATAAATTAAACGAAACATCGTTTTTCCGGAAAGTTTTTTAAATGGAAAAATAGTTTTTACTTTTCCCAGAAGATGGCAATAAATACAAAATGACGAAAAAGAAGAAGCCGGGTTGCGATACTCGTGGTTGGCAGAGCACAGATAACCCATTGTGTACCTTTGTGCTTAAATTCAAATAAACAAGACGAAAAAAATGTTTTGAGATAGTGTATATCTGTATATCTGTTTTCAGGCAAAAGATGGCGCTAATTACAATTCCTGACAGCTCGTCGTTTTAGGCAATAAATTAGTCAAACTGACTAAAATATTCTAAAGCATTCATATATTGCAAAAACCGAAAGGTAAATAGCAGCAATGATAGTAGACGAAAATGTACAGGTGTAAACCTGCAACGTATTCGTTATGCTGTGCATGAAAATAATATCCAAAATATATAGTTTTCAAGCAGAGGTCAATAGATATAGCAATGTATTAATTAGTTATCGCAAAATTACAGTATACTGTTGCGTCAGCGAGGTCACGTGACTAGTGTCACGCCACTTCTCTCGAACTTTCGTGAATGCCCTAGCATTTACTAGATATATGTTTGTCTGGTATATATATAAGACGCTCACAACGTGACGGGACAATGTGTGTAGGTAGTGAGTAATTGATTTACAGTCAGAGAGTATTGTTGAAGTTTGTTATAGCGTTTGTTTTAGCGCGAATGTTGGAATCAAGTGTATCGTAAAGTTATATTCAGAAAGAATAAACCAGTTTTATTAAGTAAGGACTTGTGTCGCTAAAGTTTCGTCGGAACGAAGTTACGAAAAGTTAATTAACAAACGGAGACGTAACAATACGTTGTGTGTATATATTATGATACGATAATGTACACGTAGTATACTTTTACCAATACCCAATCACCTATTGATGATCAGAAGTAGAAATATGATACTTTTACCAATACCCAATCGCCCATTGGTGGTCATAAGTAGAAATAAAATTGTTTTCCTAATACCCAATCACCCACTAATGATTTTACTAATTAGTTATAACAAATGTTGCATTTTATTTGTGTATAACTCGAAAGATAGGTTCAGTACTGTTGCGTTATTTCGGTCCAATGATATCACATGTGTCAAAATTTTAATATGCACAAGAATGCAGATTCGGGAATGTACACAGAGTTTTTTGAGACAGCAACGGAAAGAAATAAACACAAGTGAATAAATAATACAAAACTGTTATTCTCAATCATTCTGCTCATGCTCACTTGCTACATTGGCCGACTTACTGGTTGATTAATTAATGTTATCTTGGGCTAACCAGTGAGTGCAAACGGCTACATAGCTTTCCATATATTACATATTCACTTTTCTGTATTGTTCCTTCTATAAACATCAAAATAAGGAAATCACGAACTTATATTTTAGAGTAAAGTTTTGTTATTAAATAATAATATTTTTACACTAAACATGACAGAGACAATATTCTCAGTAATACAGTAAGTTATAAATTCCAAAATACATTAGCTTTGTGTATGATTTTACCTGACTTCTTTACAGTCAGGATTCAGTTTTCCTAGCAAGCGAAGTTTTTGTTTTAGAATTTATTTGGAATTTAAGATAAAGATATTTTAAACAATGTTTAACTGCAACCTCTCCGGCTCTGAACGTTCGCATACATACCGTTTTACCCCTGGGGGGCATCCAATAATGAAGGTTTGTTTGTTTGTTTTGAATTTCGCGCAAAGCTACACGAGAGCTATCTGCGCCAGCCGTCCCTAATTTAGCAGTGTAAGACTAGAGGGAAG